CAATGTGCTATGCACGCTTTCTTTTAAACAGTCTAGTATCTCTTTAGTGAAATTAAAATGCCTTGTTTTTGTAGTATGGACTTAGCATATTTGTATAATGATGGTTTCAGGTGGCTCCTTATGAACGTCCAGCACTCAGCAAGGCATACTTGTTTCCTGAGGGTTAGTTATTTACCTTTATTGTCAATTGATGTTTATGTTATGGAAACATACGTTGTTTCAATAATGCACGAATTTATAACAAAAAACGAACCATCTCAGTATTGGCAAATCTATATAACGGAAGAAGTATCCAATGATCTGACCAAGATCAGAGATTATACGTGTCGTCTATATATTTTTGAAGCAAAGTTAAATTTCTTAACTGGTATGAGAGATACATCCTACTAAATTCTACTGGCAGTGTTAAAATTTTTATTCAATAAGTTGATATTTTGTTCTTGTCACGTTGAAATGCCTTCAAATGTATAGCTATTTGTCATTTGTATCTGTCTGTAGTTGTCAGATTTCCACCTGTTCCCTTCCAAGTCTCTTCATCTGTTTAGACATCTCCAGTGGAAGTGTCATTGATTTGATTTTTCTAGAGGAACTGCAAGACCTCCAGATTTCGATCTAATAGAAACGTGGTTTCTTTTGATTTTGAATTTTTTACAGGAACTGCAAGACTTCCAGGTTTCCATGTGTGCGTTGAAGTGGAGGAGAGAGGCTCCTTCCTGAATGGTACACCGAGAAAGGTAAAACTTTAATTCTCATCATATTTCTGCAATTTAACTTTAAAATTTTAAAAACCCTACTTGAATACGTGCTCCCACTAGTTTTTGCCCCAATTTTCTGTCTTCTGATCAAAATTATTTCGCATAGAAAAATTCATAAAGTGAGCTCATTTTGATTAATTCCAGGGATATCTTTGATCCTTAGCACGGAAATAGTCAAGGCAGATATTTCTTCAAAGACACTTATCAGTGCAGCAGCTGAAACATTTAAATTCCAGATTCTGATCATAGCAACCGGTTCTACTGTTGAGTATCATATTCTGGGCATTATATCACATTCAATCATTTGATCTTGTTTCAGGCACTTGACAGCAGTTAGCTGATTGTGTATACCTTTTGGCAGGTTATCAGATTGTCCGACTTTGGAGTACAAGGGGCTGATGCCAAAAACATCTTTTATTTGAGAGAAATTGATGATGCTGATAAACTTGTTGAAGCAATCAAAGCAAAGAAAAACGGAAAGGCTGTGGTTGTTGGTGTAGGATACATTGGTCTTGAGCTCAGTGCAGGTCTCAGAGTCAATAACGTTGATTCCACTATGGTGTACCCTGAACCTTGGTGCAGTAAGTTGAAAATTGTAATTAAAATTTTCATTTATGAGTTGTTTCAAACCTTTAATTTTATGGTTTATGTGAAGTTGACCAAACATAGTGTAAGCTATAATGGTACGGACATGCTTTATGCAACTAGAGTATTCTGAGCTACTCATAACTTTTTTTTACATCTATGCTTTTTGCAGTGCCTAGTTCACAGCTAGCATAGCTGCCTTTTATGAAGGTTACTATGCAAATAAGGGTATCAAAATCATTAAAGGGACAGTAGCTGTTGGGTTTGGCACTAATGAAAAAATAAGTATGTTCTCGAGTAGATGAAATTTCTCAATTAGTTAATTCTTGACGATCTTCATAGTCAGGATATGTGGTAATTTTTTACATCTTTTAGGTTACAGATGTAAAACTTAAGGATGGCAGGGTGCTGGAAGCAGACATTGTTGTTGTTGGTGTAGGTGGAAAGCCTCTTTTAACCTTGTTTAAGGGTCAGGTTGAAGAGGAAAAAGGTGGAATCAAGGTTTGCGACTTCAATTTTTCATGTTCCCCCTTGTCATTGTTTTGATCAGTTATGTGCTTGTTGAATTTGTTTTTCTCTGTCCTTGATGTTTCAATGAGGTGGTGAAGGCATAAACAAGATATACCAAAAAAGGAGGATAGAAACAAAGACTTCTCATCTCAACATTACTAATACTGGGACACTCATCATTATTAGTCCTGGAGCGATGATCTCTAACTGTCTCCAAGAATTCTAAAGGGAACAGTGTAGCTGTTCATTTTTAAAAGAATTATTAACCTTAGTAACAAATGTGCATTGTGAATCTGCAAGAACGTCCTCATGATTAATGATCACTAGAAACTGTCAGCTTAAATAAATTATTCTTTCTCCATGCATAGTAATAAGACATATAAAAAAGCAGATCTCTTTATTATAGGGTATGATGAACTAAACAGTGCCAACCTGTGAGCTTAAAGCTGTCTTGATAATGGTCATGTGTTAAGTCATTGTGAATTCTAGATGTGAATGTGAATCTAATGCTAAAACCTTTCACTTGCAGACTGATGCTTTCTTCAAAACTAGCGTTCCTAATGTATATGCTGTTGGCGATGTTGCCACCTTCCCTTTGAAATTGTATGGTGAGATGAGAAGAGTAGAACATGTTGATCATGCCCGCAAATCTGCTGAACAGGCTGTCAAGGTGTGTGATGTCATCATTTACACAATTCTATTTGCATTACCTTACACACAATTAGTCTGGTGTTCATTTGGGTGCGTCTCCCAAGGGTAATAGATAACCTAGCTTATAATTTTGTTGTGAAAATTTGAACCCCGAAAGTTAACTGAAACCCCGAAAGATGGCAAAAATAAGCTGATAGAAGTTTGATTGGTGATACGCATATGTGACCGTCCAAATATTTGAATAGCCTCACCTCATCTGTAGTGAAACTTAATACTAGATTGTGTGTTTTTCGAGCAGGCAATCTTTGCTAGTGAACAAGGAAAGTCAGTTGATGAATACGACTACCTTCCCTTCTATTCCCGTGCCTTTGATCTGTCATGGCAGTTCTATGGCGACAATGTAGGTGACACTGTCCTCTTCGGAGACAGCAGCCCTACATCTACAACTCACAAGTTCGGATCATACTGGATCAAGGATGGGAAGGTTGTGGGTGCATTCTTGGAAAGTGGTACTCCAGAAGAAAACAAGGCAATTGCTAAAGTTGCTAGGGTCCAGCATCTAGCACAGAACTTGGATAAACTAGCCACAGAAGGTCTCACATTTGCCCGTAACATTTAACTATTTTGATATGGTACGAGGTCAGGCCGTGGAGTTTGAACATTCTGGAATTGGTTTTCTTTATTTACCCAGAACTGGTGGCCGGGGTAAATTAACCGATTCTTTGGTGGATTATAGAGTTTATGTCTGGCTTTCACGTTTTATTATATTTCTTGGGAAATAAAGTATTTCTTTTAGTTGTTTGGTAACTAGAAGAGATTTTGTACCGCTTGCACCCCACATGTTCGACTGATGCAGGTATATATGTTCATTCTAAAAGATTGTCTACTATCATCATATTACTTCTTCTCTCTATATATGTTCTTGTCCCAATTTTTTTTTTTTTTTTTCAAGTTTCAATATCCAACATGACACCTCCTCTAACATGTGTTGAGGTTCCACATTCAAAATCTCGAATAAAAAATAAAATTTATTAAAGAAAAAACTCAAGTTCAAAACAAGATTTCATATTGAATTTGGAAAGGTTATCTGAGCATGCTATAATTTTGCTTCTTGGAACTAATGGTGCATTATGAGTTATAAATGACTATCAAATGGCAACAATTTTTATTTTTTTTTTAAAGAAAAGAATTTCAAATCTACTTCGAAAGACAAGCTAAAAATTGGACAATATTTTTAAAGTCAATGGTTTAGTTTCTTTTCTGAATTTTGATAGGTTTTCCCTCATTTCTAGTAATTTCAGGCGTGTTTTGAATTCAATTGTTTATGTAAAAATGAGTAAGATGGAGATTCCAGCGTTATTGACAAGAAAGCGCTTCTTGATTGAGAATAGTTAAGTTTTCAATACTCCTATTTTTCATTTGTTTATTTATTTTTTTCCATTTTCAAGGGTGTATTTAGAGAGTCGAATTATGGATCTTAAATTTTCAACCCTTTTTTGTTATGCAAATATTTTTATTTATAAACATTTTTTGGGCCTTCTTGATCATTTTTGCGAGTTAACATTCCATTATCATTATTTTGGAAGCTATGATTTTGTTCAATTTTCAAGGTTTTGTTGAGGTTTGTATTTTTGACACTTGTTGGACAATTCATTGTATGCACACATGAGTTTATCGCAATGAAGTTTAGGTCAATTTTGTCACAGTTTACACTTAATGCTTTATGTAATTGAGGCCCTTAATTTCGTTATTGGCTGGGCCTTCCCACTATTTTTAACCAAGTGATTGATCATTGAAGCCCTAGCCATGCAAGCCCACAGCTATGTAGAATATATTGATCAACTTCAAATGTTCATATTGTCTGTGTCATTAATGAGGCATGATCTTCTACACATCACAATCCCTTTCCAGCAAAACTAAAATTCTTGCCGTTGAGCAAAGGCAATTTGGACCAGAAAAACCCGTGCTCAAAGTATATGAGTCATCTTCAAATAATATTATACATTTTAACAAAAAAATGACGTGACAGATTTTATATCGTTCATTGATTTGAAAAGTTTTATGGTCAGGGTACACATTTGGATTGATACGCCTTGACGATTGAGACGTAAATATTGGTACTATTGCTGGGCGCATGGTTGGGCCGATACGCCTCGACGGTTGAGAGATAAATATTGGTACTTTTTTGAGTAATTTTTATAATAATGAAATAATTTGGGAATGCATCAGGCACATTTTATGTATTCTTCAAATCTTACTTTGAGTATTCTGCTACGTCCGCGTAGCCACTACGGCACTACGTAAGTACGCGCCGAAATGCCAAAGAAGGCCAAATATCTGACCAAAGAAACCAATTTGCACGAATTTTGGCACGTGACCTGACCATGACATGTTGACACAGGAAAATGGATCAGACCAGATTCACGTACCTGGGTTCGTACTTGGTACTTGTGTTTTTATAAAGCTTAACAATACGTGTCTCTCTCCCACGGAACTCCATGGACCCACTCTCTCTCTTTCTGTCTCGTCTGCCACTCAAAGTTTCTGCATATATTCCATACCTTTCCATTTCCACAGAGCACGAACGGAAACGGAAAGGTGAGTTGCTTTTCACAAGATGGAGCGTCAGAAATTGTGTGAAGAGGCGAAGGTCGATGAAAAAACGGTGACATATGAGTTAGAGGCGGCGGAAGTTCTGGCGGCCATGGCTCGCTGCTCCTCTGTCTCGGACCTGCGCGAAGAGCGACTCCAGACCGAGTCAGTGTGTACCCACTTCTGCCGACGCCATCGAGGTTCTTTACTTTCTCACGAACGTGCCTATAGCCTATACGTATATGCGACTGCTCGCGAATGTGTTGCACTTTTCATTTGTCAAACTACTGTACTGGTTTTATGAATTCTGATTTAGTAATTTTCCTTTTTTTTTTTTTAAATTTTATTACGGTGGGGTTTTATAGACTGTTAAGAAAGCTCTATAGATTGGAAAACTACGACGGATACCTTGACATATAATCAAGTCTTGAAATTGATAATATTTCACATAATTAATACTGAAACTAAGCATATAATGATTGAATTTACAGAAGAGAAACAGAATCCTAATTGTAAGAAAGTAAACATCATTTGCAAGTAACAACAAATCTTAAAAACCAAACCTTTGTAATTTCTGATGGTCTTTGTTCCTATTAATATGAGACTGGAGTTCTGTTCAATGTGAAGTTGGTAAATGAGCTGACTAATTATGGGGACAGGCGATTGCAATGATTATATCTCAGGGATGTAACTTTGTCACCAAATTGCACCATGATCTTTGTTGCAGGACTTGAGCAGTCTTTTTGTGTATATCAGGACTGAAGTTTTCTGGAAATTTATCTACTTCAGTAGCTAACCCTGTAGACCCTGAGCAAAATGTTGAAACTACAACTCGTCAATTGTGCAGTACAAGTTATCCTTCGAATGCTACCATCAAGTCGAGGCGGACATTGTCAGAGGTATACAATACTTGGTTCTGTTCTTTAATTTTATCATATTATGTTCCTTTCTCCTTAATTTTGTTCTTCTATTCAGGCTTACAAGGAAGAACAAAGGCGTCGCCGTGTCTTAGCAAATAGAGAATCTGCTAGGCGGACAATTCGCCGCAGACAGGTACGCTATGTGGGCTTCACATCATCTAATTGTGCTTACCTACTACACTTCAGTTTCTAGAACTTAATTGTCTAAAGTTTTTAAGTTGTTTCACAGAGTATTTTGAATAGACATCCTTTTGCTTTCTATAATATGCGCGTGGGTCCCAATCCTTACTAGTAGATAATGGGGAGTAATTTGAGCCACCAAGTTAGTTAAGTCGACTGCTTAATGCTCTCTTCACATTTTGCTCTGGATAATTTGATAAACAGCACCTTAAGTGATAGCCTGGGCCCCACACGATATGTTCCTCCTCCCCTTTGTCCTTTTTTTATGGAAGGACTAATATGTTTCTTCAGGTTTTTGGTCACTCCTCTCAATTTCTGTGGAAATGGGTTATCACTCATTGTAGCGACAATCTAAATATAATGCGTCCATTTTCTTGAATTATGAACGGATTTTTTTGAAGTTATCCATTAGTGACTTCTCTGGGGTCCAATGGCAAAGAAAGATGTAGTCATATAGTTGCGTTCAGAAAATGAGTAGTACCACTGTATTAAAAGATAATGATGAAAATTAGAAGTCCTAATACATAATTAAAGACTAAACTCCCCATCGACTATGACTTAAAGTACAAGGAAATAATTAAAAGATAACAAGGATCAGCTTCCTTATTTAGTTGTAGGATTGGACAACATCATAGGGTGGCTTTGTGATTCCAATTATTGTTGCCAGGATTGAACTTTATTTAGAGAGTTTTAGTGGACGTGACATTCTAAAGGATAATCTTAGGCAGAAGAGACCTTGTGATTGGAAAACAGAAGGAATACTGTGATGCACGCCCAAAAATTAATATCTGCATGGTTAACGCTATTAAATGCCATTTAAATGTGATCATACATGATAAAACTCAAAAGTTCAAGAATATAAGCATCTAATGACGCAGGTTAGCCTATTTTAAAAGTTTGCTGGCAATAATTTCTTTCCACATTGGGAATATTTTTGTGAAATCCTGGTTGTAAGTGCTAGGCTCCAATTACGGCTGCCTAAATTTGAATATTGGTCCCAATCCTTACTAGTAGATAATGGGGAGTAATTTGAGCCACCAAGTTAGTTAAGTCGACTGCTTAGTGCTCTCTTCACATTTTGCTCTGGATAATTTGATAAACAGCACCTTAAGTGATAGCCTGGGCCCCACACGATATGTTCCTCCTCCCCTTTGTCCTTTTTTTATGGAAGGACTAATATGTTTCTTCAGGTTTTTGGTCACTCCTCTCAATTTCTGTGGAAATGGGTTATCACTCATTGTAGCGACAATCTAAATATAATGCGTCCATTTTCTTGAATTATGAACGGATTTTTTTGAAGTTATCCATTAGTGACTTCTCTGGGGTCCAATGGCAAAGAAAGATGTAGTCATATAGTTGCGTTCAGAAAATGAGTAGTACCACTGTATTAAAAGATAATGATGAAAATTAGAAGTCCTAATACATAATTAAAGACTAAACTCCCCATCGACTATGACTTAAAGTACAAGGAAATAATTAAAAGATAACAAGGATCAGCTTCCTTATTTAGTTGTAGGATTGGACAACATCATAGGGTGGCTTTGTGATTCCAATTATTGTTGCCAGGATTGAACTTTATTTAGAGAGTTTTAGTGGACGTGACATTCTAAAGGATAATCTTAGGCAGAAGAGACCTTGTGATTGGAAAACAGAAGGAATACTGTGATGCACGCCCAAAAATTAATATCTGCATGGTTAACGCTATTAAATGCCATTTAAATGTGATCATACATGATAAAACTCAAAAGTTCAAGAATATAAGCATCTAATGACGCAGGTTAGCCTATTTTAAAAGTTTGCTGGCAATAATTTCTTTCCACATTGGGAATATTTTTGTGAAATCCTGGTTGTAAGTGCTAGGCTCCAATTACGGCTGCCTAAATTTGAATATTGCAGGTATAAATTTTCGACGTGTGTCTATTCTTAAAAAGGTTTTCCTGCTGAAAGAGATTGTTTTTCTTTTTTCTATAATTCTTGGTTTATTTATTATCTGTTTCTGTCTGTATTCTTTTTTTGATCGGTAAGTGTAAAAATTTTATTGATCAAAATTTATGTACAAGTACTTCAGGCATACCCGGGCTAAATAAAAGAAAATATGTACAAACGAAAGGATCTAGAGACACAATGCTAAAGAATCAAAATGAATCAAAACATAGGGAGACAATGAAAACATCAATTTTGTATATGTTGCGTGTTGTCATACTTGGCTAATCCACCTGGGCCAATGGCCCACTTAGGCCAAACCACGTGGCACTCCAGCCGAGGTGGGCAATGGCCAAAGCCCTTCAAGCCGAAGTCAACAAGCCGAGGCGCCTTTTTACCGAGGCCTGTGAACGTACCCGAGGTCCACGTGTCGAGGCCCATGAAGCGAAGCCATGATGCTGAAGCTAGTTGAAGATAGCTGAAGCCCTCAAGCGGAAGTATTGTATGAAATGGCCGAAGCCCCGAAGCTGATTCAGGAGCCTTCGAACCACAAGGGAGTGTCCTCCATGTTCACTTCTCCCAAGAGATCGTCTGTATAAAGATCTTATTCGAATTATTGATGAAACGTTTGTCATAAGCATAAAGGTCAATTCTTGTCACTAGTATGGGGGCTCTGCACAAGCAATAAATGCGCTGCAAGTTAGCAAGTCAAACCTTATGCCTGATAAGATGTTTAAATCAAAGAGATGAGGCCACGTGCCACCTCATCCAAGGGCTCCCATTTTACATGTACCACTATAAATACTTCCATTGTGTAACATCAAAAGGTTAATGCAAAAATCAATACAAAGAACTACACTTTACTCAACTCTCTCTCATTTACTTGCAATACACAAATCGAGTTTATACACATTTACATATACATTTATGAACACCGGTTGGTAATTATTGTACAATCGAATCAGGAACAACCCGTTGGATTCTGAACGTCACCGTCCTGCGTCGTTGGGCTACCCCCACACCCTTTGAACCGCTCGTTTTAGACCGTCCACGTGCCTTAACGTGTTGGACATTCGCCCACGTGTGCGTGGGTGGGACCGACATCTGTTGGCAATACTTTTTGGGGTCAACAGATTGGCGCTGTTTGTGGTAAATCATACCATAACCACGAGCAACCTTGTGGTAAAAGTTTACTGAAAAAAACATTTGGGCAACCCCCCTTGAAAAAGGATTTGTTCTTGAAAAAGAACAAGAGGAAGCCCCATTACTTAGCAAAATCTGAATTCTGACAAAAGAAAATGAGCTCCAATGAAGATACTTTCCCTAGGAGGGTTAGAGAAAACACGAACGTGCCTCCTCAGCTCGCTGTCCCAGTAGTTCGACAGAGACTCCACCACTACCAAAGAAGAGGTGGGATGTGTGCGACGGCACGAGTATCAAGAGAAATGGCCGTCATGGCAGCCAACATGAGGGATATTGCTAGCCAAAACTTGGCTATGAGGGAGCTTATGACCCAAATGTAGGGCCAGAGAGGCTTCCCCATTCCTCCATACACCCCCCAAGGGCACTACCAGCAAGAGGATGAAGTTCAAAGTCATAGAGCTGCCTCGTAAGACTGTGGCCGAGGTGGAAGCCCATTTGAAAGGGAAGTGGAAGTTGATATTTCTTCCAACTACGCTTTTGGCCGACCCACGGAGGTTCAAATGAGCCATAATAATTTCCTACCTCCGTATGAGTAAGATCCAAGACATAGGAGGGCAGGAAGTGTTTTTGACAGAATCAGCCCCGTCGAACCGAGGCTCAGGCAACAGTAGGCTTAACAGCCTTGGACAAGGTCACCTCCTCCACCTCCAATGCCCCAGCAGCCGGAGAGAAGGCATGAAAATGCCCCCTGTGTTGCTCCGCCTAGAAATAGGCAGCAGAGGAGGGAGGAAGAGGCTATGGACCGCCCTGGAACCTCTCACCAACAACCAAGGTACGAGGTTGATGAGTACGACTCTGATGAACAGTAGAGGTCCTGCGACTTGATGATGAGAATCTATCATTCTCAAGGGAACTAAGGAATGTCCAGGTCCGGAGTCACTATGTTATGCTAAAAATACTAAAGTATGACGGAAGAAGTGACCCAGAGAAGCACCTGAATGCTTATAAAACTCACATGAGCCTAAGGGGCGCCACCCCAGCCGTGAAGTGCAGAGCCTTCAGATTGCCACCTGGGAGCATTAGAAGCTGGAGCGAGTTCAAGACAACATTCTTGAAAAGGTTCGCGGTGAGCTAAGAAGGAGAGGCCCCCATCCAATATCTCCAAGACATGAGACAAGCACATGGGGAGTCCCTAAAGAGCTTCTTATCACGCTTCACCGATGAGATGACGTATTGCGTACAAGTCACTGACCGAGAGGCACTATCCGCATTGAGGGGAGGTCTGAACATGAATATCTTATTCTGGAGGGACGTGCAGAATCAAGATCCCACCACTTATGACGCCCTACTCGAAATGATGAGAAGGGAGATCATCAATGAAGAATTAATTGAGCATAGGAACAGGGCAAGTAGAGGCCTCCCACCTCCTCAAAGACAGCGCGGTAGAGGCCCGACCTCCCACCTGATCGGCTACCAAATGAACCAGGTCGGAAATGAGAACTCTGGCCAAGCACTTGCCACCACCACTTTGAATACGGTTCCTACCTTGGAATATGAAGATGTTAACCCGATTACTGACCCCCATCAGATGGAGGCCCAGCAGGGACCCCGTCCGGGGAAAGGTCGAGGCCGAGGTTCAAGATCTAGAAATAGGTCAAATCCGAACGCCCCAGGATACTGTGTGCACCACAGGTCCTACGGGCATGACACAGCGGATTGAAGAAACTATGCACACCGCTCCCGGCAGGAACCCGCTAGAAACAGACATGATTCGCCCCAGGCGAACAGGCCCCCGTCCAGGCACGACAACTGATGTGGGAGTGAGGAGGTCGCTCCGCGTCAAAGGGATGTATCCCCACGACGAAGGGAGCATGATGGAGAGAGGCC